CGGGCCTGGCACAGCTGCCCAGGGCAGTGGTGGAGTCCCCATCCCTGGAGGGATTTAAAAGATGTGTGGTTGTGGCACTTGGGGATGTGGGTTAGTGGTGGCCTTGGCAGTGCTGGGGGATGGTTGGACTGGATGGTCTTAGAAGACTTTTCCAACCCTTCTGTGATGTTTTCCTCTATACTGTTTTAGTGAGGATACACCTAGATGGATATTGTCACATGAGTAATTGCTTTCTACCAAAAAGCTGAAAGTTCAGGAAATAATTTTGCTGAGCTGGTTTGCCAAAGGTGTGACATGAAGCTGTCTTGTCCAGGTGCTCGTTTGGATCCCAGCCAGCCCACTGCAAATCCAGATGCCAGAGGCCTGGGAGGTTTCTCTTATCCTCAGCTGGATAAGGCTGTGGGAAGATGTGGTTATGAGCATCTTCCTGCTCTTGCCTGAGAAACGTGAAATACCTCTGGATTAGGAGAAGGTAGGTTTGGAAAGGAAGTGGAGGAGATGGGGAAGAGACTGATGGAATCACAGAATGGTTTGGGTTGGAAGCGACATTAAAGACCATCCAGTTCCACCCCCTGCCATGGGCAGGGACACCTTCCACTAGCCCAGGTTGCTCCAAACCCCATCCAACTAGGCCTTGAAGAGGAGAGGACACAGAACACTATCCCTGCTTTTGAGAAAAGCAAGACAGAACCTGGGATTGGCAACTCCAGTGCTCCCCACAGAGCACTGATTGCCCCAAGCCTCCCTTTTTTTGGCCCTTTTTCTAGTGTTCAGGGACTGTGCCTGGTCGGGAGGTGATTTGGCTCCCCTCCCGGCCCTGGGTTTGCTGTGCTCCCCAGTGTGGCTCTGGTTTCAAAGTAGCAGCATCACCCCCAGGGCAGCTGGAGCAGAGGGTGGAGAGCTGGTTAATAATCATGGGGCAGAGCTCGGTGTGTTCCGAGAAGCCCCCGGCTGTTGCTGCTGGAGACGTGGTGGTGTCACAGGGTAAATGTCAGTCCCTAGAGAAGAGGGAACAGTGGGTCCTGCAGTATCAGGTGTCCTGTCACCCAATAGCCAGCAACATCTGGGTGTGTTTTTGTGTTTTTCTACTCCAGATCGTGTTTAAATATGTCAATATGTGTCAGAGATGAGCAGAGCAGCAGCTCCCCAGCCCAGCCCGGGCACTGCTGCCTTTGAATCATAGAACGTGCTGAGCTGGAAGGGACCCATCAGGATCATTGAGTCCAACTCCTGACCCTGCACTGGACACCCCAACAATCCCACCCTGTCCCTGAGAGCGTTGTCCAAATGCTCCTTGAACTCAGACAGGCTTGGTGCTGTGACTGCTTCCCTGGGGGGCCTGTTCCAGTGCTCAACCATCTTCTGGGTCAAAAACTTTTTCCTGATATCCAACCTAAACCTCCCCCAACTCAGGTTCAGCCACTTCCTCGAGTCCTGTCACTCATCACAGAGAGCAGAGATCGGAGCTGCCCCTCTGCTGCCCCTCACAAGGATGTTGAAGGCACAACGAGGTCTGACCTCAGTCTCCTCTTCTCCAAGCTGAACAAACCGAGTGACCTCAGCCACTCCTCATAAGGCTTCCCCTCCAGCCCCTTCCCCATCCTCGTGGCCTCCATTGATGCTCTTTAATCGCTTTATGGTTTTTTTTTTTATATTGTGGTACCCAAAACTGAGCCCACAGGACTGAAGGCACCACCGCAGCACCTCGTACTCTGCGCCCTGCCTGTCCCTTGCTGCCTGTCCCTTGCTGCCTCTCTGGTTCTGGCAGTGAGAGCGCGGTGCTAAACCCGCGGTGTTTGTGCCGCAGCCGAGCTCGGCCGGGCCAGGCCGGGCTGTGCGGCTCCCCCGAGGCTGCGTTTGTCCCCGCTCCTGTCTGGGCAGCAAATGAGGCAGAAGCGCCGGCGAAGGCAGTGCGTGACTGCAGCGCTGGGATGGGCGGGCGCGCCCAGGGCACGGCTGCGGTTGCATAAGCGGCTCTCACAGACCTCAGCTCGGCCCTTTTTCCAGCTTCCCAACGCCTGCATTTGCAACCCTAAAGCATCCCGTGTCCTCCTGTGATTTCCGAATTCCTTTTGTTTTTTGAAAGAGGAAAGAAAAAAGTCCCTCAATTCTCTTCGGGTGGGGGACTGGTCTCGTGTCCACCCACCTTACCCTGAGCACCTAAACAAGTGAAAACACCTTTCCTTGCTCCCTGGATTCTGGTGACTCCCAGCCTGGGTGGCTGTGTGGGGAGGACCTTCCCACTCCGATGGGTGAGCACAGCCAAGTGAATCCTGACCCAGGAGCTGCTGCCAGCCCAAAGCCCAGGCTCTGCAGAGGTTTTAGGAGATGGGTGATTACCTCTGCCAGCTCGCTGCTCTGAAAATAAATTCCATTTTGGATTTATTTGCTGCAGCTGGAGCTGCTCGGTTTCCCTGGATCCATCTGGAAAGGTGAGGCTGAAAAAATCTGGGATTGCAACCCTGTCTGCCTGCCTGAGGATCCCACTGGTGGCAGGGAAACAGGGATTCCTGCTCTCTACAGTCACCTAGAAGGAGGTTGTAGGCAGGTGGAGGGGCAGTCTCTTCTCACAAGAACAAGAGGAAATGGCCTCAAGCTGTGCCAGGGGAGGTCTAGGTTGGTTATTAGGCAAAATTTCTTCCCCATGATGTTTGTCCAGCCCTGGAACAGCTGCCCAGGACAGTGGTGGAGTCCCCATCTCTGGAGGGATTTAAAAGCCCCGTGGATGTGGCAGTTTGGGACATGGGTCAGTGCTGGGAGAATTGTTAGACTCCATGATCCCACAGGGCTTTTCCTACCTAAATGATTCAGGGATTCTATGATAGAACTCAGGACAAAACACAGAGACTGAATTGTATATACTGACATATATTTATTTACATTAAATGCATTTTAAACACAGACCTATCTCAATACAGAATGAACCCAAACCACGTCTCTAGGCTCCCTAGAATCTAGTCTAAGCATTTAAAATAAACCATTACCACCACAGAAATATTGGTTTACTTCTGGCGTTTTAAAGGAAGCCAAAGCCTCTGGAGCAGCAGAGCAGAGCTGGTGTCACTGAAACTGCTTTTGACACTGGTGGTTCCTTGCCAGCTGCAAACAGCAGATTCTCCTTATTTTTTGTATTACTCAGCTCAGTCAGTTGAATTAGTTGCATACACAGAACTGAGGAACCCCCTGGGAGCTGTGAAGGCCAGAAAATATGCCTTCCTCTTCCATTTGGAAACTGAAAGCAAGGGATGGAGAGATGAGCTCTGCTACTCCTAAAATCTTGGCAAACACGGAAACCAGGAACAGCCAGTTCTTTTCTCTCACTGTGAATGCTCCTTTCTTTAAAAAACCAATTTAATAAGTAAAATATGTTTAAGCAACTTTTATATACATGTGGTGGAACTAGTTCGGGGTAGTTTTATTTAAGTAAAAATCAATTTCAAAATGCTGGTTTTGTGCTATTTAAATAGAATTCCAGTTTTCCATGGAGGTGGTTTGTTGGTAAACAAGAACCATCCTGTTCCTTCTGAAAAGCCCTGTTTGCTCGTAATTTTACCCTCCTCTGGCTGTTTTGGGGCGTGGAGCAGTTCCAGCTGCTTCTTGGAGGCCAAAATGTTGTGAGCCATAGGGGCGTAGGGGCCCTGGGCTCTCTGAGGGTGACAGCAGTTTAAGCCACAACATTCTTGTCACCCCCTTGTGCTGTCTCCTCCAGCCAACCCCTATGGCCCCCCGGCCCTGGTTTAGGTGCCCAGCTGGCCCTGAGCCCACCCCCCCTGCAGCTGCTGCTGCTGTGCCAAGATAGTTTTATTAACAAACCCAATTAGCACCGCTCTGCTCCTCTCCAGATGTTTTTTAGCCTCTCCTGCAAGACCAGATGCAGCCACGAGTGAAGCTCCTGGCCCTGGGCCCTGTTCTCGTGCTTTGGATCCTGGAGATGCTTCTTTCCATCCCTGCCCACCCTCAGGGTGAACTTTGAAGGGGTGAAGTCTGGTTTCTAGCTAAGCTGCACCCATGAAAAACTGCTCCTTGTTCCCAGGGCATCCCAGGGCACTGGCGCCAGGCTTAAGGGACAACCCTGGGCCGGGCACAGCAGGATGGAGCAGGATGAGGTTTATCCATTACCTTTATTAGGGCTTCAAAATGCAGTTGGAGGTTTGTGTCCCACAATTTACAGCTTTCCTGTAGGTTCTGAGGTCACGCATGTCCCTCACCACAGGGATGTCCTTGTGACATGGGCCAGCTCTTGCCTGGGGAGGAGCAAGCCTTTGGCTGAGACCCGTCACCCCAACTTCCCTTGTAGTCTTTGAAGAGAAAGAGGTGCTTTTGGAGGCTCCTCCATCTCAGATATCTGCCAGCTTGGCCTGTGGACACATCCATGACTTGACAGCTAAAGAGTGGCCCCAAATTCACTCCTCATAACACTCACACGGTGCTGCACACCTCAGCTCCTCTGCCAGGGCTGCAGCAGGGGCTCACAGCCCAGGAAGGTCCTTGCAGCTGGAGGTGGGTCATGCCTGGTCCTCTCCTTCCCGGGGATGGTGGGACTGGAGGAGACCCACTTTCCCCCGATACTTCCATTGCATTAACCACGCAGGAGCTCAGGCCTGGGCCGTGGGGCTGCCTGTGGTGTGGGGCTGCCCAGGGTGTGGGGCAGCCCAGATGTGGTGGGTCTGCCCAGATTGTGGGGCCATTTTGCTGCTGGGGGGATCAGAGATGTCTCCTAATTTCTACACAGGGGTTCATTTCTAGTTTAGGGGTTCATCAGTGGGGCGGGGACAGCGACAGCCAGGGCGGGGCAGCCTCGTGTGCACAGCAAAGCGAGCGCCCGAGGGCAGCAGGATCCGAGCCCCGGGCAGGGCTGCTGGAGGTGGTTTGCAATCCCAGGATTGCAGCCCGGGGTCCAGGTGCCCGGCAGAGCTGTGGTCCAGGGGATCCACCCCCACAGGTGCCGGCAGGGTCCTGGCAGGGCGTTGGTGCCAGCCTGGCCGTGGGTGCAGGACCCCTCACTCTTCACCCGGGTGCTCCCCAACTGTCCACTTGGCCTTCACGTCCCGGAAAGGAGTGATGTCCTCGTAGGTGGCCATCTGCTCCACCTCCAGCCCCTGCACAGATAAGAAGGAGGTTGACACATGGCAGGAGGACAATGGTTCCATCCACAGCACATCCCCCCTTAGGACCTCCAAGTGGGCATCCATCTCCAGGCTGTTCTCCCCAAGGCTGGAGCTGCTTCTGACAGGGAGAAGATGGAGAAGATGGCTGGCTGTGCTCTGAGCTTGGCTTGGTTCTACGAGCAGCTCTTTATGGCTGGTGTGAACTTGGGAGGAAGGTTCCCAAGGAGGAAGGCTGCAGGGGCTAGTGACACCCAGCAGACACCCAGCAAGGGCACAACTCCCTGTTTCAAGGCCCAGGTTGATATTACAAAGGTCCTTCTGTAATTAATTACCTCATAGGTGTGATCCTCCTCTGGGTCTTTCTTGCCTTCACCCTACGGAGAGGAGAGTCACAGGTTGGTGTCAGCACCCACCAGGATCCCCTGTCCCCAGCCTTGGTCCCCCAGGCCAGGTCCCACCACTTCCACAGGCAAATCCACGTAGTCCCACACAGCATTTTAGATGCTTTTTTTCCCACTTTAGCCCCAGAATTGGTGCTGGTCCATCCCCATCCCCCTCACTGTCCTGGCCAGAATGGAGGACACCGCTGTGAGCACCACAGTGGCACAGCTGGGGACATCCCCACTGCTGGAGACACTGTCACTTACTTTATCCAGCAAGAGGAGTATGGGGATGCTGATGAAGATGACAAGCAGGATGGACTGGATGATGATGATGGCGTCTTTCAGGGTGTTCCTGTTCTGGATCTGCTTGAGGCTGCTGTGACCTGGGAGCAACAGCATGGGGAGAGCCCAAGTCTCACCTCTGTGCCAGGCTCCCAGGGACCAGGGGTGAGCTCGCTATGGCCACAGGTTGGTGTGTCAGTAAGGGTGGATGGAGGCACCAGGGTGACATGTCCTCCAGACTGGGAGAGACCAGAGCACTGTAAACTGCCCCTGGGATTGGCATCAGGGACTATCTCTGGGAGGAGATAATTTGGGCAGAACCCACCACTGGCCAGGAGCAGGATAAATTTATTAGAGAAATGTGGTCCCTGGGGCATATTTTTGCAGGATGGACATGCCAGGGCAAAACAGGGAGGGTTGTCCTGCTGTTTGGTGCTGGCAATGAGGAACCACATGGTGTCATGGAGCAACAACCCACAGTTGTATCTGAGGGGTCCCACCAGCACAGGCAGAGGTGGGTGTGTAGGAGCCTGATGTGGGGTTCACATGGAGGTGAAAGGGTGAGAGGAGGAGGAGAAAGAACATTCCCTGGGAGCTCCCACTCACCCACGACTTTGAGCTCTGTCCCACACGCATGCAGGTGCTTCTTCTCCAGGATGTTCTTTCTGTCACACACGTAGATTGCGCTGTCCTCGAAGGTGGCCCTGAGGATGGTGAGGTTGATGAAGGTGTCTGTCCTGTTGATGGTGTACTGGGAGGTGTTACTATCCAGCCCACAGACGTCCTCACTCTTCTCTGCTATCTTGTACCACTGCATGACTTTGGGGTCGTCGGAGTAGCAGACGAAGTAGATGGGCATGTTCTTCTTGATCGCCACGTACCGCGGGTGCTGGTGCACGGAGGGGCACACGCTGCCTGCAGGGACAGGGGCAGTCACAGACCTGGCACCCACCCCAGCATCTCCCACATCAGGAGCTCCCCACTTTCATGGATTATACTGCTCTTGAGCATTCAGCTTTGTTTTTTAATTATCTCTGTCTGGGGTAGTGGTCATGGCCCCAAACCTGCCAGAGCTCGAGGATTGCTTGGGCAATGCTCCCAGGCTCATGGTGGGATTGTTGGGGTGTCCTGTGCAGGGTCAGGAGTTGGACTTGGTGATCTTTGTGGACACAGGATCATCTCCCAACTCAGGATATTCTGTGATTCTATGAAATTGGAGCCTTTTGGTGGAAACACACTTTTAATGGAAACCCCATTTTCTGTGGGAATGGCTTCACTCCAATACTTTCGTGCTGCTCCCACCACTCTCTGTGTACATCTTGTAAATCCCAGCTCCCAGATTACAGCCAGTGCTGGCACCACAGAGCGTTGCTGGGACAGCCCCATCTCCCCATCTGACTTCTCTCAGACTTCCACATTTTTTGCATTTTGCTGTATTTTTGGGGGGGGGGGGGGTTGCCATGTTTTGGTCCCAGTGTGGTGAGTTTGAGGGCTCCTTTGGGTTGCAAACTTCATGCTTAGAGCCCTGTGGGGAGGAATGGCACAACTGCTGTGGCATGAGGTCAATGCCTTGCACCAAGGAAAGACTTATTCATGCAACACCCTCTGCAAATGCAGAGGGAAAATGTGTGGGTGCTTAGGGAAGACAAAACAGATCTGGGTTTGCGGAGGGAGAGGAAGGTGCAGGGCTGGGGATGTGCCATGGAGGAGGTCACAGCCTGCAGGGACCGTGGCCAGTGGGGATGGGAGGGACCCTGGGGACACACGCAGGGGAAGAGCCCAGTGGGTCTGAGCCGTACCTGTGCTGTTGCTGGTGTTGTTCTTGTCTGCTGAGATCCCACCTGCAAGACAGAAGAAGAGCCCTGAGATAATGGCCAGGAGCTCACAGAGGGTGTTCCCCATGGAATGGCACGTGCCAGGGGTCCTTTGTGCCCACTCCATATGGGGTGGAGTGCTGGGGAGCATTAACAGAGCCCTGCTCAGGGGACACAGGGCAGTGCAGATTTGGGTACAAACCCTTCTGTTTCCATCCTATCTCCTGAATCTTCTCCAAGTTGTTTTTGGTTTGACACCCCAGTGAAAACCACCTTCCCTATTAATGCTCCCGAGGCTGGTGCCTCTCTGGAAGGGTCCAGACACTCACCCCTCTCTATTTACACTCTGAATCAAACAGAAACACTTCCCCTGCTGGGCCTTCCCTGGATTCGGAGCCCTGTGATGGCCAGGGGGTGTTCTCAGACCCTGTGACCACAGAGCCCCTCGGGACCAGGGCTGTGGGCTGGAGCTGTGGGACCTGCGATGCAGCGCAGGAAGCGGGGTGAGGTGGGGACCCCCCCAGCCCCCATGGGTGCCTCTGCCCGCAGCTCCAGTGCCCCTGTGCCTCGGTTCCTCTTGCTGCAGCTGCGCAGGAAGCACCAGCCCTGTTTACTGCCCCGCTTCAGTGCCCACTCTACCTCTGGTGAAGATTTGCCAAACCTCGCTGTGGAGAAGCTGGCGTGGAGGTGGGGGCTGCACCACCTCCCAGCACGCTGGGGCAGCTGCAAACCACCCCCCCAGAAGAAGAAGAAGAAGTCAAAGAAGAAGAAGAAGAGAGGTTCAGTTCCCCAGCCCGAGCTTCACCCCAACCTGTGCCACCTTGTTGCAGACCCCAGGCATATCCAGGCTTGGCCCTGGGCCCCTCTCCCTGCCCCAGAGCCCCTCCCAGGTCTGTGCTGCCCCGTTCACCTCCAGCACTGACATCTCTGCAGGTGAACTCTCCCTTGCAGCCCCATTTCATTTTTTCCAGGATGAGGAGATGTGCCTTGACCAGGCTGGGTGATGGGTACGTGTCCCTGTCACCTGTGGTGCCACCAGTCAGTGAGACACAGGGCTTTGCTCTCTGTGTTCTGTTGGTGTTTCTGAATGAAGACCAGGCTGGTTCCTCACCCTGAAAGCCCTCACACCCTTCCAAACCAGGAGTTCTGCTGCAGCCATGGGTGAGCTGAGCTTCCCCTTTCCTCCCCTGAAGTCACCATGAGAGCCACATTGAAACCCTGCGACCTCAAATCCCTACTGGACTTGTGTGGCCAACACAGAAACACTTGAAATGCCCTTCCTCCCATGGGCTCAAGTTTCCCCCGCCAAGGAATCTGTGTGGGATCTGCTGCAGGTTCTTGTGGGTGTCCCTGCAGCAGGCAAGGGGTGTTGGAAGGGGACAGGAGTCATGTCCTGGGTTTAGCTGCTGCTTCTCCATGGGGATGCCAAGGGGAACAGCACAGGGATGTTCACACAGGGCCCACAAATCTCCCCCAAAAGCCGTTTTCCTCCCATTTCTCCTTTACTCCCAGGCACTGAGCCCCACAGAGCAAAGGGTTGTGGCTTGGCCATGGCCTCAGTGATGTGCCAGCCCCATCCTCAGGTCCTTGAGAGCAAAAAATGGTTACAAAGACCACAACAACCCTTCTTTCCTGACACCTGCAACCACAGCCAGGCAGGCCCTGCACCCGCTTGGCACTGGGCTCCTGCCAGAGCCAGCTGACCAGCCAAAAACGTGCCCTGTCTCCACACCCCAGTGGGAAGCAAAACCTAAAACCTGAGGCGGGCATTGAGTCCTGAGCCCTGTGTGTCCCCCCCCCCGGCTCTGCTGCACCTGGGAGGCTTCCAGCCCAGAGCAGGACTGAGAGAGGCCAGAGCAAAGCTTAGAACTAACACAGTGAAAGGCAGAGCTGGGTGAAGCCCCAAGCAGGGGACATGTGCCAGTGCATCCCTGGGCACACGGTTTGTGCCAGTGCATCCCTGGCCACACAGTTCATGCCAGTGCATCCCTGGGCACACGGTCTGTGCCAGTGCATCCCCCGGGCACACGGTTCCTCGCTCTGAAGTGCAAACCCTGTTTGATGCCTACCTGTAACCAGAGCCAGCAGCCAGAGGTTCACCTGGAGCGCCCAGAGCCTCATGCACAGATCAGCCATGTTTCACCCCACGGGGCAGGGAGACACATCCAGCCTTTGCTTCTGCAAAACGCAGCGGCTGCTCCCGCCGGCCCGGCCCCGGGACCTAAAAATGGCAAAGCTGCTGCTGCGCGAGACGGCCCCTTTCCTGCTCATGTAAATCCTCCTCGCTGGGGACTTTCCCCTCGGGGCTGGTTTTGAATGCAGTGCAGACGCTGGGCCAGCAGGTGCCTGTGCCCTGAGCAAGATCCAGCTCCGTGTCCCTGGGCACTGCCCATCCTTGTGTCCCCTGGCACTGTCCAGCCCCGTGTCCCCAGGCTGTGCCCATCCTCATGTCCCCAGGCACTGTCCAGCCCCATGTCCCCAGGCTGTGCCCACCGTGGTGCTGATATTTGATGGAGGTGACCAGGACTGTTGTGGATCTGCAGCAGAGCTGGAGAGGAGCCCCGGCTGCAAAGCCCTTGGTGATGCCAAACCTGGGATGAGCACAGGGGATGAGTCCAGGGAGCAGGATGTGACTTCTTCCCAGCCACGTCCCTGGGGTATAGAGGATGGGGGTGACCTCCAGGGTTTCCCCCAAGCTCCAAAGATCCCCTCCAGGGTGTTTGGCCCTTCAGGTGATGGGCAGGGGTTGATGTTGGCCTAGTTGCCAAGAGTTGGAGCAGAGGTAGGAACAAAGGATGTTTATGGAGTTAATTATAGATGTACTTATGGATGTACTGCCATCGCTGCACCCCAGAGAGTCCCTGCAGCTGCCCTTCCAGGGAAAAGTGAAATCCAGAGTCATAAAATCATGGAATTGTTAAGGTTGGAAAAGACCTTCAAGATCAAGTCCAGCTGTCAACCCATGTTCATAACTAAATCATGCCCTCCAGTGCCACATCCACAGGTTTTTTAAACACTTCCAGGGAGAAGAGAAGGGGGGAAGAGATGGCCAAAATAAGGTCTCACCTCCCTGGCCACCAGCCATGCCTGCGTGTTGTGGGTGCTTCACACCCCATTTCCCATGACCAAGACCCTTCTCCATGAATCCTTTGGAGACGGACAGACCCTGGGGAAGCACAGTGAGGCACCCCAAGGTGAGTTTTGATGCACGACATGGTTTCCCTCCGTGCTGTGCCCCCCGGCTGCAGCATGTTAGTGGCTGTGGGCGAGCACTGAGCTGTGACTTCAAGTGAAAAACACCTTTGGGTACTTTTGCCAGTCGTGCTGGTCCCCAGAGCCTGGGTGCCACTGCCTGGGGCCTCCCCAAACCTTCATCTTCTGCAAGTTTGGTGGTTTTTTGCCAGTCCCGAGCATCCGGCGGATGCTGGGAACCAGCTCGAGCCTCACCTTGTGTGCAAAGGGGCAGAAAAGAAGAGAAATAAAGTTTTCCAGAGAAATACTGGCTTGTGAGGGAAAGAGGGATGACGGGAGGGGTGCCTTCTCCTGGCACTGCAGGAGAAGGGACTGTGTTGCTCAGTCCCTGCTGCCATCACCCCCTGGGTCCTGCTGGAAGAGCAGAGCCTGGCCATGACATCCCAGCAGGGCAAAGGCAATGGGATGCCCACGTGCTTGGTGGGCACTGGAGGGGGTTTTAGCAGGCTCTGGGGCTGGAGATGGGAGGTGGGATGCTGGAAGTGCCTGGGAAAGCCCTGCAAGGTAAAAGCAGGAGTAGGGCACAAGCTAAAGAGGGTTTGCAGTGACATGGCCAAATCACCCACTGCACTGCCTGGGGGCTCCTTGGCACCCTGGGACAGGCACAGACCTGGGCTGGAGGGGCTCAGTCTCCCCTGTGTTTGCAGTAACATGTGACATGGGATGCAGAGGGACCTGGTGGTCCCATGGGGAGGGTCCTGTGTCCTCATTTCTCCTGGACCACCCTGACTCCATAACCCACAGTCCAGAGCCACTGCTGGGCAGCTGCACCTTCACCAGCCTGTCCCTATTCATCAGGGTTTGGGTTTCACCACTGTCCTTTCCAGGGCTGTGCCACCTCCCCGCTCCAGCCCCCTGGCTGCGTTGGTACCACACTGCTCCCAACTTGAATTACACCAGCCCTGGGACGAGCTGTTCCAGCAAGAGCAAAAACACAGCCGTGCCGTGGCCCTCGGGGACGTCACCAAATCCCAGAGGTGTCTCCTCCTCCAGCCACACACTGACACAGGAACCTCCTTCGCCCACCACTGCCTTCTCCCCATGATGCTGACCTGCTCCCACGTGGCTGCTGGGGCGGGTTTGGCCCCACAGAGCCTGCCATGGGGCAGCTCAGGGGCTCTGCACCTCCTCCAAGCCCACCCCTCTCCTTGGAACCTGCAGCAGCATCTCCTGTAGCTCCCAGAGTTGGGTTCATCGCTGTGAGCACTGAGGGCTCCAGGGGATGGATTTGTCAGCAGAGCAGAAGCTCCGGGGGCTGGGTTGGACGTGCCTGGGGGTCTCTAGTGCAGGATCAGACCACCAGGTTCTGCTGAGGATGGCAGGTCCAAGGCCAAGCCCTGGAGCAAAGGGAGGGGCCGTTCACCCCTCCTAGCCCAGGGAAAACATTTCCCCCCTCTAACACACCCCAACGCACTTGGTATCGTAATAACAGATCATTTACAGTTGTTTATTTTAAGAAATGTACAAAGTAAAACGGCGTTAGCTCACACAAATCCTGCTCTGTGGCACTTTTCCCATCACTGACGACACGTACGTACAAGCGGCATCGATTGTGAACCACAACCCGGGCTGGGAACCGCCGTGCCAGGGATGCTTCCCACTGAAACAATGCTGACACCAGCTCAGGCTCCTGTTCCAGGGAGCAACAACACGGAAAAGAAGGCACAAGGCTATGGGATGACACGTGGGTACAAGCAAGCTCAGCACCGCTCCTGGCCAGCCTGAACGTGGGGCATCCGGAACGGCTCAGCGCCCAAATCAGCCCGAGAAAAGAAATTAATTATAACCATACAAAAAAGACAGACCCTTTGGTTTCAAGAAGCAGCCCTTGTTTTAACTGGAAGAGGTTTTGGTTCGTGGTTGTTTTTGATCTCATGAGGCTTTTTTTTTCCCCTTTGAAGGCAGAAGGTGGTCAGAGGTAAACTCGGGGCCTTTCGTGTGTTTTTCATAGAATCATGGAACGGTTTGGGTTGGAAGGACCTTAAAGCTCATCTTTAATCTAAAGTTCCAGCCTCCTGCCATGGGCAAGGACACCTTCCACTAGACCAGGTTGCTCCAAGTTCCATCCAACCTGGAACTGAACATTTCCAGGGATGGGGCATCCACAGCTCCTCTGGGCAACCTGTGTCAGTGCCATTTTTCTTGGTTTTCTTTCTTTTTGCCCACCTGTTTAAAGAGCAGCAAAACCCTTTTTCTCATGGGAAAACACTCCTCTATCCAGAGATTTCCTGGTGAGGACCTGAATGGCCCCATCCAGCTCTACAGAGACCCCAGCACGTGCCACAGGATCCTCTCTGGAGCCCCAGCCAAGGGAAGGAATCTCTGCTTGAGGATTTTGGGATTCACACCCTGGTAGGAGCACAAGCCCCCCGGGGCTTGTGTGGGATTTAAGGGACCCCATTGAAGCAGCTCATGGAAAGGATCATGCAAACACCTGCTCCAATCCCTGGGGGTCCATCTCCTTAATTAACACTAACGAAGAGGACATTGGGAACGCCAACCAAGAGCACTCCAACAGGACATTTCCTCTTGCAGCGGGGCTAGAAAAAACCCTAGAAGGTTTTGTCACAGAAACTGGGGATTCTTGGAGGAGGTTTTCCAAACCCTACCTTTGCCCGTTGCTTTCCTGCCACAAAATCTGGATGAAACAGGAAAACAGAGAAAAAACATGACTATGAATAGTGTTTACATTCGTATCATAGAGCCCCGAATGATTTATGGTTTCAATGCATATTCAGAGACCTCAAAAACCTGATATTTAACCCTGAGAACATTTCTGCAGATGCTTTGTTCTGGCTATGCAAACCAATTTTTAAGACATAATTGCACTTTCTCTGTAGGTAACAAAAAATAATCATCAAGCTTATTCAAAGGTTCAAAAGAAAGGTGCTACTTTAAGACTTTGGAGATTTTTGTTCACAAAACCTTGTGTTTTCTGTAATTATTCTTAATGTTATTTCACTTGGCTCATCTTTCACTGGTTGCTTGGCTGCACTCTGGAAGAATAATATACAAGAAAATCTCTTAATTGTGAAATAACATTAATAAATAATTACCCTAAATGTGCATACTCTTTTGTTAATGTCTGAAAAACATCGTTACCGTGATGAGATCATTTCAAAACTAACATGTTTCTCTTTCACCAACAACAGCTTTCACATTCAGTTCTCATAAGAAAAATAATTAAACTCTTTGCAAGTGCAGTGAGCTGGAAAACCTGGGAGGAGATCCTGCTTCGAAAGGTGGCTGCTTGAAACATCTGAAATTAGCTCAATATATAAGATCTAGTGATCTGTGCATGGAAGAGCTCTTGGGCAGGAGATACAAATGAAGCCTCTTCAGGCTGGGCCAGAGGTGGAAGCTCCTTCTGTTACACCAGCGACTCCTTCACCACGCGCTCCTTCTCCCAAGCTTTTGCCTCCTCAGGAGCATCGCGCGTCTCTGAGCTGGGAATGGGCTCGAGGCCAATGGCAGGGGTTGTCTCCACCTCTGTCCCACTGTTCCCATAGATCTCCTGCATTTTGGTGGCAATCAGACCCTCCTTCTCGGGCGCATCCTCGCCCAGGGCATCCTCGTCCTTGCTGTGCCTGTACATGTAGGACGCCTGTTTCACCGAGCGCCTCAGGAGGTACCTCCGGAAGGCCCTCTGGATTTTGGTGGCACACACTTCCTCGTGTTTCCTTTTCAGAGTGGTGGTGATGGGCTCGTAGGAAACCTTCGAGGGGTTTGCAGCCATGAACTTCTCCTCCATGCTGGCCTTCAAGGCATCCATCTCTCCCGAGTCTCCCAGCACTTCCTTAGTCAGGGCAAAGAGGATGTCCAGGCAGTGGATTTTGTCCCCAGCAACCATCGGGAGATCCATGGTGATTAGTTTGATCTTGTTT